ACACGGATCAGTTCTGGAATGGGGGAGCAGAGCGGGGATCAGTTCTGGAACGGGGGAGCAGAACACGGATCAGTTCTGGAATGGGGGAGCAGAGCAGGGATCAGCCCCGGAACGGGAACAACGTGCTGAGGAGATGCGCTCGTTCTCGTTATCAATGTCGTTATCACTATTGTTATGATTGTCCTTATCGCTGCCGTCATCGCTGCCGTTATCAGCAGGGCCCCGCATCACGAGGGCGACAAAGCCTCGCTGGCTCTGTCAAACTCCTCGGGTTTGTGCCCCATTTGCGTCACCGGTCGCCCCCAAAAACAAAGGGAGAGGGCAAATCCCGGTGGATCAGGGGTGGGAAGGGCTCGGAGCCGAAACAGCGACAGTGCCAACACCTCCAGTGGCACCGGGACCGGGGCACGGCGACATCGGCATGGGCAGCGGCTGTCCCCGCAGATGGGCAGGGACAGGGGACAGCGCTGGAGAGGGAACCGGTGCCACCGCTCAGCGCTGGGTTTCTGTGGCAGCAGGGAGGGGTGGGGACAGCTGTGGCTGTGTGCTGTGCACATCTGCACACATCTACACCTGAACAGCCTAAACACCTCTGCACCTTGTACTGCAAACCTCTGTGCATGGAACCTCTGTTAACCCCGAACATCTGCACGTGTCCCTACGCCCCGCACATCTGTCCCTGCACTCTGCACACCTGCCCCTCTGTCCCGAACACCCCAAACATCTGCCCCTCTATCCCGAACATCTGCAGCTGTCCCTGCACTCTGCACACCTGCCCCTCTGTCCCTGCAAACCCCGAACATCGGCCCCCCTGCCCCGAGCACCGGCCCTGCCCTCCCCGCTGCGCCACCGGCGCCGCTCCCCGCACTGCCGCCCCTCGGGGGCCGGCTGCGCTGCCCGGGCCCGAGCCCCGGTACCTCTCTCCATCTCTCCATCTCTCCCCTCTCTCCCCATCTCTCCCATTTCCCTCTCCCGTTTCCCTTCCCCTCCGTCCCCTCCCGGCGCCTGCGCGCCCGGGCGGATCCGGCGGAAGCTCCGGGCAGGTTCCGGGCCGCGATGGCTCCGGACCCCTGGTGAGCTCCGGGCCGGGCCGGGCCGGGCCGGGCCGGGC